AGTTGATTAAGAATGCTAGTCATTTTAGTAACGTCATATGATGAACCTAATATCTTTTTGTTTCATTCGATAAATAAATAAAATCAATCAATATTGAATATCAAGAAAAAAATAGTTACTACTATCGTTAAGTTACTTTAGATATTTCTAAATAAAATTTTTATTTTATATTTTTTTATTATAGTCTCGGTTTTATATTCGAAAAATAAAACATTTAATTATTTATTTTAATTTGTAACCATTTTATTTATATATCAATAAAAAAATAAATTAAAAAAAAAATATAAAAAAATAAATTTTATTTGATATGTTGTTAGCTTTTGTAAATAAATTACAAAATTACCAAGTCTCGCTACGTGAAAGCCAACATATCATGAGACTCTAAAGGTGAGGAACATATTCGTAGGCACTAACCCGTACCAAGAGATCCTCACTCGTGCGAATTGAACAATAGCCTTAACAGGGTAAGTTGTAGGTTATACCCCAGGTCAGGCTCGGGGTAGTGCTCTCCCCGTTACCTTTCACAAAGATCGCCCGCAATCAAATCAGAACGACCAGACCGTCTACAGCTATGTATGGTCAATATCGCACGAGATTCAGAATCATCTTGTAGCAATATGCCCTGGAATACTTGGCTTCGGAGAACGAATCTCCTAATGGTCCCAACTGCCACGAAGAGGCGTATTCCTTAGTTGGAGTAAATACAAACCCAGCAATATCGTAACAACGATGTAACGATGATATAATTATGATATAACTATAATATATCAAATTTGCGCCTAAAATAAAAGAGAGAAAATTAGAATATATTTTAAATTTTAAAAAAGAAAATAAATAAAGAAACACCATAGTTTAACAAACAAAGTAAACATATTTTGAATATTTGATGAAATCTACCAACGACAGAATAACATGCACAACACAGAGTGATATCACAAACAGGGAACGAAAGGAAGACCAAACATCTCAAAGAACCTACATATAAAAGAAAAACGTTAGTTATACAAGAAAATAAGAACGAAAAGAATCTTCAACACCATAGAAACCAAAAAAAAAGAAACGTTTGGATCTATAGAAAAAAAAATTAGTAATAATGATATAAACGAACAACAAGAAGAATGTTGATTCTAAAGTCATGAACGAAATAATAAACGAAATCTACATCAGAATATAATGACAACGTTCAGAAAAATTCAAAAGACCAAACCTGAAAATCCCGAAACATAAGAAGTATTTTCGACATCAAAACCATCATACTTAAAAGAAAACAATAAACGAAAAGAACCAGAAAACATGTATTGGAAAAACTTACCGAAGATTCATAAACGAAAGGAAAGTACAAAACGAAGTCTTGAAGCGTTAAGAAAAGAACCATAAATGATAAAAAAGACTACAAAAAAATAAACTTATTAATTAAATTATCGTAAAATAAAAAAATCTATTTTTTTATTTATAACAAAAAAATAAACTATTAAATTATTATCGATCGTTATAAAATAAAAAAAGTTAATACGTATGTTTACTAAATCACATGTTTTTACTACATAATAACTACATTTTTATGTTTCCTTTTAAGGATTTCCTCATGAGGAAATTCGTGATTAATTCTCTTGAGAATTTCCTCAAATTCTATAACTTAAATTATAGAGGGAGAAAATTTTTAGGCCAACTTAAATAATAAAACATGAGCTTACATAAAATCATAGGTATAATCCGATAAACTTTTGATAATCTTAGAAATTGTGTAACTGGTTTCTTTAATAGACAAAAGTTTATCGGAATTCATGTTTATAAATATTTATATATTAAATAACTTTTTATTCGTATTAATTTAGTCGGTAAACATAAAGAATAGAGCTTAAAATCGCATAAATGATGTAATAAATGTGCTCCCGACAATACAATTCAAGGTTGGACAAGTAAAAATAAGAATATTGATGACTGTCTGAAATACTTTCAACTTAGAGTTAATTCATATGAGAAAATGGATTCCTTTTGATAAACTAAAATAATATCGAAAATATTGGTAAGGAAGGATTTGGTTCTGTATTTTCGGCAATCTGGTTAGATGATATACGAAAAATTAATGTAATAGAAGTGTGTGAACATGGAATTGTTGCACTCAAGTCCTTATCTGGTTCTAATGAAACCTTCTCGATTTTTCGAAAGAAGTAAGTGGAAGGTTCTACAAGTACTGAACAGGTACTAAATTATTTTATTTACAATTTATTAAATGTATTTTGAACTTATTTTTTTATATAAAATTTATCAAGATTAACAATCGTATGAAATGTAATTTATTGAGTAATAAACTTGCAATATATGAATAACTCAAATACAAACCCAATGAATACTTAATGATCTTGCAATATGCTAATAATGGAAATCTTCATAGTATTCAAGCTCAAATTTCGAGAACTTACCTGGTAATATCTTACAAGATCGATATATTAATGAAGAAACGCAATCTTACATCTCAAATCTAGGATTGTCTCGAAAGTATGATGAAAATACATCAGGCGATATTTATGAAGTCCTACTCTATGTTGCACCAGAAGTTTTATCAGGCCAACAATTTACATTTGCTGCTGACATTTATGACTTTGGGTGAAATAAAGATTTGCAAAGGACTGCAATCGGAATTTTCTTTCAGAATTCCTAATTACTATATTTAATTTGCTAAACAATGTATGGAATTGTATCTACAAAACAACATAATGCTTATCAAGTTCATTAAGAACTTCTCAAATGAAATAAAATCTTATCAAAAAAAAAAAAATAACTCGAATTAAAAAAAAATAATTAGAGGGGAGATTACTAATTGATTTTCAGAGCTGGCATTACAATCTTCGGCCAGAATTTCAATTAATGGGGAGAAAAGTTAATTAGAGGGAGAAAATTTTTAAACCATCGTCAATTCATTATCATCACAATTTTAATAAATTTTATCACATTTAAATTTATTTTTCGATAAAATAAATTGGGGTACTAAATTCATTATTAAAAAAAAAAAAGGTCCAAATCAAATTCTCCCCACTAATTAAAAAAAATTCTCCTCACTAATTGATTTCATTCTCTCCGAAAAAAGGCACCCCAAAATTCAGGGCCAGATTTTCCTAATCTTGGCCAATGTGATAAAACTGTATTCTCCCCTCTAATTGTCAATTAATGTGACATAACTCTAATTCCATCCAAAATCGTCTAACTCAGGCCAAAAAAAAATGGGGTACTGAAAAAATTCTCCCTGCTATAATCTAGAACTAAGTAGTTACTGCGGATCATATTATATGATCGTTATGTGATTATTTTTATATTAGGTGGTTATTATCTGTAACACTTTGACAGATAATAATAGAGACCTTCGTCATGTTACTTATTATAAAATTAAATAAAATTGATTATAGAATTACAGAAATGTATAATCTAACAAATAAGACTAATTTCATTAAAGTAAGTTGTATTTTATATATTAATTCTTATAATAAATTTAGGGAATTGCTATTTCCACCATGATAAATTGCTATTTCCACCATGGTAGATCATGTGATACAAATTGATTGCCGTGAATCTCCGATAAACAATAAATACCACGTGATCGAGCTTTCTAGAAACGTCACGTGGTCACGTAATACCTGTACCAGGAACCCTTAAAAATTTCAAAAGGATTAGAAAACAATATCTTGCTCCAAAAAACAGTTTTACGACTTTTTCATGCATAGTAGGTTACACAATAAATCGGATTGGCTAGCTATTTTAGTACACCAATCAAATTCGCATAAGTTTGTGTAACTTATTAATCTACCGGTCAATTTTACGACTTTTTCATGGCTATTTTAGTACACCAATCAAATTCGCATAAGTTTGTATAACTTATTAATCTACCGGTATATAAAAAAAGTTATATGCGATCATATTGTCAATTTTAAAAGATGAATTTTAATAGTTTAAAAACATAGTTGTTTTGGTGTTGTTATCGGTGTTGTAACAAACAAGTAACAAGATAATCAGCGTTGTAACAAACAAGAACAAGCAAACATAAGCAAGATAAAACTGCTAAACTAACGATGTCTTTTTGGAAAAAAAAAAAAAACGATTGTAAAAAGTAAGATATTATATTTGACTTTTGGTATCTTATAGTATAAGTACTATATAACTTAATTTGCTTTTTATTAAATATGATAGCTTGTTTTAAATACCACGTCAAGCTACTGCAAACAGGTCATGCAAATGAATTTCCAGAACATTTTTTTGATTTTTGATGTGCCGAACCACAACAAAAAACATTTTTTGAAAATTTCGTGTCGCAATAAAAAACATTTTTTGCCCTTACCCAAAACAATATTTGTGTAATGGAACCGCAATTTTTAAGGGTCCCTGACCTGTACATTCTATTACTCGTGTAATCACATGATCGCATACGTAGTCAATCTAATAATCTATATTACTATATATTACCAATTCGCAATTCTAGTATTACCCAAACTAAAAATTTTTCTTTTAGCGTTAGTAATAAGGTTTGGGCGTATATTGCTTTATTTTAAATTATACCCTCTTGATCTTGGAATTTGGCTTGGCCGGATAATGATTTTTTTAGATTGTAATGCTAGACGAATCCGTGAACATAATGAATTGAATCTTTAAAGTTTTCATTAAACTTTATTACATATAGCTTGCAAAACTTCAAACATAAAACTCTTACGCGGTTTAAGCTATAGATGGAATTAAAATTGGATTTGTAAATGAAATGGAATTTAGATTGGGTGGCTAGTATTATGCATTGCATTCGCATACGATTATTGTGAAGGTTACATACAGAATCTTATGAATTTGTAATTTTGATTGTATTTTTATAGTGTGACTAATATTGTCTTTATTTTATTTGCGAAATACAACTGATTAAGCATTACAATATAAAATGACAACGAAAAAAGGAAAATAAAATTTTTATTTCTATCAAAGAAGGATTATTTTAGACGCGTTAATAAGATGTTTGTGATAATCTAATTATCCTCATTACTATCCTCATTACTCTCCTCATATGAATCTTCAATATTAGGGCATGTTCTACTATTGTGCCCGATCTCACGACATATGCCACATTTTCTGTTATGACCTTCATCTAAATTTTCAAGATTAGGGCATGTTCTACTATTGTGCCCGACCCCACGACATACACCACATTTTCTATTATAATTTTTTGATATAATCAACTCAAAGGTGGACGGATCTCTTTTAGTAGACGGTTGGGGACGGTTTTTTGCACCTACCGGACGTTCTCTTGTGGGTTGCACCTGTGGATCTTGTACAATTACTGTCGACTCTTGAAATATGCTCGACATTATACCCAGAATTGTACTTTTTTGGTAAAGTGGCAAAGAGTCGAATTTCTGGCTATACTCTTCCCATTTATAACGTAATGAAACTTCGGTTTCGGATGATTCTTGTTGAGACAATTGGCGTTGCTGGATCCACCAATGTTGATGAAAATCATCGAGCTGTAAACATTTGTTATTATCAAGAAATTCCTGAATTACATGAGAACAAGGTAGGCCCATTGATGATTTAAAAGTACCACTACAAGGTCGTAGTGGGTTTTCTGGTGTTGCATTAGACGCTTTTAAAAATTGTTCATGAGCTTTCTTTAATGCAAATTCAGACACTTTGGAAACAACCTGCGCATAGAATGGTTTGTTTAGTGCATGGGGTATCCGAATCATCTCTTGGGAGGCCTTGGTTTTAATTTCTTGATACTGATTTTCTAACGCCAAAGTAATTTTCTCATGGACAACAAGAAGATTACCCATTGATACCTGAAGGTACATTTTCAGCATCGCATGGGCCCCTTCTACTCGAGACGTCGTCATATTACCTATGAAATTAAAAATAAAAGGATTAGGATAAACGAAAAAATGAACTGAAAAAATGTCAAAAAAAACGAATGCCGAATGGCAGTAAGGAAAAGACGAATGCCAAAAGAAGAAAAAAGAATGCTAAAAGTAGGGATTGGAACCGGTTAACCATTTAAAAATTGCTTCATAGTTCCGAGCAGAATTATGTTGGTTGTGGGCCGGAATTATATTAATGTCGGCCAAATTAAACGATTAAACGATTACAGCTGTTTTCATAAATTCCGGGACACTTAAAAATTTATTCGTTTCCTGAAATCTTTTCGGTTTCGTTCTGTGAATTATCCAGCTCTTTGGAAACTACATCGCTGTCTCCGGACCGAAGTTCCGAAGATAGCAATGTAGTTTCCGAAGAGTTGGATAATTCACAGAACGAAACCGAAGAGATTTCGGGAAATGAATAAATTTTTAAGTGTCCCAGAATTTATGAAAACAGCTGTAAGAAAATTTTAGACAGTTCCAATCCCTACTAAAAAGGTTTAGAAAATTTCTCAAATAGAAAAAAACTTTAAATACCAAGATGCAAATAACGGTCAGCCCAACAGCTCACAAAATTTGCTTTAAATGGTAACCAGGTTTCTTTCAAATATTCAATAGTTATTTGTTTTTCATTATATTTTTCTACTAATTTTTCCCAGTTGTTTCCAAAGTCGGTTTCAGTTTTGGATTTTATAAGGGTAGACCAACTTTCCATAAATGCTGACCATTCAACCTCCGTTTGAAAATAACGCCGGCAATTAACCAATACATTCTTTCCAATGTGCCAAATGCACAAAAGATTTTGTGACTCTGTAAATACTGTTTTTACTGCATTCATTAAGGCTAATTCACGGTCGGTCACGATAACTTGGGGCTTTGGAATGTCTCCAAAAATGCGAAAAACACAAGTAAGAGCCCATTTGTAATCTTCTTCCTGCTCTGATTTTAAGAATGCAAAACAGGAAGAGAATGTAGTGTTAAAACTTGTCATGCCAACGACATGAAGCAGTGGCATTTTAAATTTATTAGTCTTATAGGTACAATCCATTAAGAGAATGGAGTTATATGTTTTGGTAAGTATAATTGATTTTGGATGTGCAAAAAAAAGATGAGTTAAATTTCCATTTTGATTATATTGATAATAATGTTCAATATTTTCTTCTACAAGCTCATCAAGAAGAGCTTGAATTGGTGTACGACCTTGAAGGTTATCATGTCGAATCTTATCCCGGGCATTGTAAATAGTTTTCGAAATCGCAAAGTTATTTGGATTACTTTGACGGAGAGTAGAGAGTATCTCTCGAGGATGTATACCTGCTGTAGACATTTCCTGGACTTTTTTTTGATCTTTATCATTCAATCGACGACTA